ATCCCCAGTGATTGGCGGAGGGCTACGGTAGTCCCAATATTCAAAAAGGGGGCAAGGTGCCAACCTGGAAACTATCTGGTAGATTTTGTTCAGGAAAACGGGATAATTAATGACAATCAGCATGGGTTCAGGAAAGACCGTTCCTGTCTGACTAACCTGCTAACTTTTTATGAGGGGGTAAGTAGAGATATGGATGGAGGGAAGCCGGTAGATGTGGTATATCTGGATTTCGCAAAGGCATTTGATACGGTACCACACAAGCGCTTACTTCACAAGCTGAGAGCTATGGGCATAGATGAGGTGGTGTGTACGTGGATAGAGAACTGGCTACGGGAACGGGTCCAGAGAGTATATGTAAATGGCACCTTCTCAGACTGGGCTAGTGTAATGAGCGGTGTGCCTCAGGGTTCTGTGCTGGGTCCCATATTGTTCAACTTATTTATTAATGACATCGGGGAGGGTGTTAACAGCGATATTTCCGTGTTTGCGGATGACACCAAAATTGGGAGGGTAATAGACACGGACTTAGACATTATAACATTACAGGAGGACCTGGATAAAATAGGGGAGTGGGCATTAATGTGGCAGATGAGGTTTAATGTCGATAAATGCAAAGTAATGCACTTTGGAATTAAAAATAAACAAATGGGTTATACAATTATGGGTATGCCGCTAGGGAAGTCAGAAATGGAGAAGGATTTGGGGGTCATTGTAGACCACAAACTGAAAGGTAGTTTGCAGTGCCAGGCTGCTGTAAACAAAGCTAGTAGGGTTTTGTCCTGTATTAAAAAGGGGATCTATTGCAGGGACAAGTCTATAATTTTGCCACTTTATAGATCATTGGTTCGGCCTCATCTGGAGTATGCGGTCCAGTTCTGGTCACCAGTACTAAGAAAGGATGTCCTTGAGCTGGAAAAAGTCCAGCGGAGGGCAACAAAACTAATTAGGGGTATGGAGGACCAGAGCTACGAGACGAGGCTACTAAATTTAAACATGTTCACATTAGAGGTGAGGAGATTAAGGGGGGATATGATTTCTATGTACAAAATGTTCAATGGGGACAGCAAAATTACCGATAAACTATTTAAAATGAACTCCATTACAAAAACTAGAGGCCATAACCTAAAATTGGTGGAAAAAAAATTCCAGCACACGTGGCGAAGGGGGTTCTTTACAGTGAGAGCGGGTAGGGTCTGGAACTCACTGCCGCAGGCAGTGATTTCAGCAAAAAAAATTGGAATTGTTCAAGAAACTTTTGAACGATTTCTTAAGGGACCGTAATATACAGGGGTACAGGTAATATACAGGGGTACAAGAACTCATAAGAATGAGATCCTAATAGGTTGGACTTGATGGACTAATGTCTTTATTCAACCTCAAATACTATGTAACTATGTAAAATGTGGATTCGGGTCTCTATTCAATCAAGAATTCAAGCCTCTTGGTAATACCTTGGGTGAACAGTTGTTGTATAAAGAAGGCTTTCAGCTTCATTATGGATTTTATATATCGTTGGTGTATTAATCTTATTTTGTGTATTAATTAAATGTTTGCCTGTTATGCAAATGCTGTTTGATATGTCTCAAAAATAACCCAATAAGTAAATCCGGTCCCTCTGAGCCCACAGGCCGGAATACCCATAGTGCCTACGAGATGGTGACCAGATATGTCCGGGCTAACCACACTGAGGCAGCTTGAAGGGAACAAGCACTGGGAGAAGGTTCTTGGACAACAGGAGGGACTGATAAGATGAAGCCATGTTGAATACAAAATGGAGTCAGATATGAACATCAACTTGTGGCTTGTTTTCTTATATTTGTCTCAAGAACACTGTTCTCATGTGAAAGGATGTTTAAACATCTTCCCTGTAACGCCCTGGTATTCTTAGTTATTCTCAGCTTTCCAGTAATTCAGTTATTAAGTATGTATTGTTAGCTTTACCGAAATTAATTAACAAGCAGGAAAGTAATAATTTATGCTCTGACGTCAATATAATCATTTCGGAGAAGCTTTTATCTAGCTGCTCAGATGTCCGGTCATGGAGACCTTGCCAGGAGTATACTATGTGAAATATTCAAAACTAATATACTTAGTTCGTTAACCAATTAGGGATACTCCTACTTCCCCTTTGGCTATGTGCCCCAGAATAGCATTTAAAAGTTTGTGTATTATCTATGTAAAGTGTCACACGCCATCTTACGGCCCGTGTGAACTGATATATATCGTACCTTGTATTTACTATCTAGTAAACCTATATACGGATTGTATACTGGAAGAGCGTCAGATTACATTTATTCAAAGGCTAACTTATCACATCCAAAGAACTGCAGGCCTCACTTGCCACAGTTCAGGTCAGTGTTCAAGACTCCACCATAAGAAAGAGACTGGGCAAAAATGGCCTGCATGGCAGAGTACCAAGACAAAAACCGCTGCTGAGCAAAAGGAACATAAAAGCTAATCTCCGTTATGCCAGAAAACATCTTGATGATCCCCAAGACTTTTGGGAAAATACTCTGCTGACTAACGAGACAAAAGTTGAACTTTTTGGAAGGTGTGTGTCCCATTTCATCTGGCGTAAAAGTAACACCGCATTTCAGAAAAAGAACATCATACCAACAGTAAAATATGGTGGTGGTAGTGTGATGGTCTGGGGCTGTTTTGTTGCTTCAGGACCTGGAAGACTTACTGTGATAAATGGAACCATGAATTCTGCTGTCTACCAAAAAATCCTTAAGGATAATGTGCGGCCATCTGTTTCGTGACCTCAAGCTGAAGCGAACTTGGTTTCTGCAGCAGGAAAATGATCCAAAACCCACCAGCAAGTCCACCTCTGAATGGCTGAAGAAAAACAAAATGAAGACTTTGGAGTGGCCTAATCAAAGCCCTGACCTGAATCCTATTGAGATGCTGTGGCATGACCTTAAAAAGGCGGTCCATGCTCGAAAACCTTCCAATGTGGCTGAATTACAACAATTCTGCAAAGATGAGTGGACCAAAATTCCTGCACAGCAGTGTAACAGACTCATTGCAAGTTATCGCAAACGCTTGAGATATATAGAGATAGAGATATTGAAATATAGAAAATGAGATAGAGATAAGTTGATATAGTCAGAGAGATAGGGGAATATAAAGAGAGAGATTGAGCTAGATAGATAAATATAAAGATAGAGCTTAAGATAGAGAAATATAGAGATCAGAAAATATAATAAAGAGATTGAGATATAAAGATATAGGAGTTAGAGCGAAAGAGATATTGAAATATAGATAAAGAGATTGAGCGATATAGAGATTGAGATAGAGAAATCTAGAGATAGCGCTTAAGATAGAGAAATAGAGATTTTTACGGATCTGGGCACCTTGGAACCTATTTCACATGCAGAGAGGAATACGATAATATGAAATCTAATCCTTCGTAGGTTTCTTCATGACCTCTGGTCATACCTTATGTTATAGTAATATATAATAAAAAGAGATTGAGATAGAGATAGAGCTTAAGATAGAGATAAGAAATATAGAAAAAGAGGATTGATATATAGAGAGATAGAGAAATATAGTTATTACAAGTATTTACACTCAGTCGGTTCCTGCCCTCAAGGAGCATAGGGAAAACATGCAAACTCCATTCAGATAATGTCCCGACCAGGATTTAAACTTAATAGTCTGATGCATCAAATGAGCCAGATGCATCCTTATGTGCTGTGTTGTTGTGTATATAAATATTGATTTTGACCCAGGTCACCTCATCTAAAGGGTTCCTTTGGGCATTTCGCTTTAAGCTGATATTTGACCGATTTGGACTGACATGTTGCTGAGTAGGGATGCACCGATACCACTATTTGTAAGACCGAGTACGAGTACCCATTACTTTTTTTCAAGTACTCACCGATACCAATTACTGATACTTTTTCTTAAAGGGGCAGGTCACATTTTTTCTAAAGCAATACAAATTAATGATTTGAGGTCAGTTTCTTCATCTTATGAAGAACATGAAATGAATATTTATCATGCCATTGCTAATTAAGGCTTGTATCCCCATAGTGGGGAAAATAGATGAGCACATGTCCAGACTCCAGAACACTGTATAGTGTGGCACAGCCATATCCAATTCTGCATACCTGGCTTTATTTTATAAATTTTTTACTGTCACAGCCTAGTCATCTGCTTCATTCTGACCTCTTCTCCCGCTGATTGGCCGATTGGATGATCCTCACTCCTGACTGGTGAGGAACCCTGTCAATCATCCAATCAGCGGGAGAAGAGGTCAGAATGGAGCAGATGACTGAGGACTTGGAGGAGTTTGCGGCCATCTTGTTTCATTGAAGACGCGATGGAGGTCCTGTGTGCGGCGGTTTCGGGTCCCTGAAGATGGCAGACGCGGCACAGGTACTCGTGTTTTGTATCGGAGTATTTGCACGAGTACTCATGCAAATACTCGGTATCGCCGCCGATACCGATGCTTGTATCGGTATCTGTGCATCCCTATTGCTGGGCAATTGGTCTTTCATTGTATTTATGGTTGAAGATATACAGTGCTAGTGTTTTAATTAAAATTATATTTTCTAAAGAATATAATTGTGGTGGTGATGGTTGTGATTTATTCAACACATGTTGAAAATGCATGACAACACACTTAAATGCACGGTGACGTGTTTTAATTGGACTGCACTTCTATTGATATCAATGAAAAAAGCATCACAGGATTTTGCATAAGTTTGAATCCAGCCTGAGTGATTCTCATCACTGAGCTGCGGTAATGAATGTGGGCAGTGCCATTCATTGTGAAAAAAAGCACCCCAAGACACCTTCCGAATGCACTTGACGTGCAGCACACTGCGCTGCACTGCATTAGCTAAACCGATTTAACACAATGCATGCTAAGGTGCAACCTAACAAGCGGGCATTAACGCACCATGAAGGATTGCCCTGGTGTGAATGGGCCCTGAATTTTAGGCCAAGCTTTTAATTGTTATTACACCATAATACCCATATAGCATATATAAGGTTCAGCTAGGAAACATTTACATACACACAATGCAAGAATTCACAGTTTTATATCTTCTGCCATTGTCCATCATTTTCTTTCTTATAAGAACGAGGCTGTCCATGTGGGAATAAAGATATGCAAGGATAAGGATGTTCCTTTAATAAAAGAAGCGCTGATCTCATATCGCGTACAAAGTGTGGAGGCTCTGCTTCAGGTGATGTAGAGAAACACTGCAAAATATAAGTGCAAGGGTGACAAATTAAATAACTGCAATCTACAAACAATCAGCATTTTTTTAAACTAATTTAATTTGGTGTATTAAATACAATGCATTCCACTGCTTGTCTTTTTCTCATATCATATCAGACATTTCTTGTCATATTATAGACATATAGAAAACTAAAGTCTTAAGCTGGATTTAAACATATGATAATCTTTGTCCAGCAGCAGGAATCCTGAGCCAACAGGTCTCAAAGGAAAAAAGCAAGCAAGGTAAATAGCCCCAAACAGAGTGCGTTCACATCAAGCCATTTCTGAGGTGTCAAAAATGTTTTTTTTTTGTAGGGGTTTGCGCAATAGCACCTGATTTTACCAGCTGGTGCCACTACATGTAAAATCTATAGAACCGAAATCACATCTGGCCACTCCCTCTGGCAACAACAGGAGAAATAGAATCAAGCATTGTGGACACCAAGGCAACGAAGAACTACATCAACCTAAAGAACACAACATTTGGTGCGTAGTCGAAGGAAAGAAAGGCCAAGGGAATGAAATCGGATGAGCATCATATTATAAAATCAAAAATAATAATAATAATAATAATAATAATATGGGAGGAAAAAAGAGAGACAGGAAAGAGACAAAAGGGGAAATTCACATGGGAGGAAGAAGAAGAGAGGCACAAGAAAGAGAAAGGGAGGGGTAAGGAAAACAAGGAAAGGCAGAAAAAGCATAGGTGGTGGTAGGTCCAGTACTTTAGAGGATATGAAAAGAAATGAAGACTAAAGTGAAAAGTGGTAATTATATGAGAACAATAAAGTTCAAAAAGCATCGGAAAAAGAACCACTGCAGTGAGGGAATGACCAGTCAACTTGGTTTCTGCGATCAAACCATCCATATGTTCATACAGGAAGCCCACGCTGTGAGGCTAGGAGTGGTGGTGGATTTCCAGTGCCTGTATATCACTGCCTGGGCAGCCATCAGGCAATGACGCCTCTGTCATCCTTTTTTAATGCTTTTAAAGGATGGAGGGAGAATTGATAAAAGGGCAATCTCAGAAAACACAACCAGGTCTAGTTGCCTGCATGGGGTTATAAATTTGGAAAATTTGTCAAAAGGGCTGTAATTTAGGATAATCCCACCAAATATGTAAATAAGTACACTTATGTTTCCAACGTCTCCAACAAAGTCAGGGGAAACATAGATTGTAAGGTAGAGGGAAAATGATACCATCAAGCCAACAGTTTATAGTTCCTCTCCTGGGAGGTCATTGATTAGAAATAGAAGATGCGTGGGTCACTCCAAAATACTTGGACCAAACCACTTCTGAAAATGATTGGCCCAAATATTTCTCCCATGTCAAAACAAAGGGTGGTTTACTCCCATGGGCCATCAATTTTAAAAGCTCATACAGCTCCAAAATTGCAATAGGCAGTGGTTCAGAAGAGCAACACTATTGTTTGAAAGTGGTCAATTTGGGATTTAATATTCTACCTCGAGACAAAGACTTAAGTGAGTCAGATAAACCCATCGCTTGGCCTCGGATAGGGCAAAAGGAGGGCTTCAATGTATTAGAATCAGGGAGAAAAACAGGTCTAACCTGATGGAGTGGAACATCACTAAGATCATTGAAGAGGAGGAGGACATGTCGGGAGGGAACTGAGGGTTATGACGAAAAGGGTTGAGAGGGCCCGGTCTGGAGCAGTAGACGATCCCACGCATAGAGAACAGAAGTAGTGAGGAGAAGAAGAAAATGGGAAGAGGGACAGTGAACAGGTTCTAACCAGGGGAAGGAGACCAGTGGAATCAGAGAGCAGCTGATTCCAACAATACACCAGATTTAGAGTCCCCAGACAGGGTAGGATTGCTGCTCTGTGGTACAGAGAAAAATTTGGGAGGCTGAGGCCTCCATAGGATTTCGGTTTAACTAAAGTCTTATAACCAGTTCTGGAAGAATCTCTACCACAGATAAAGCGAATAGAGGTAGATACAAAGAAAGAAGAGGGGAGGGAGGTGACATTTATAAAGGAGGTGGGGAAGAATATTCATCTTCAGGACATTAAGTCTACCAGGACAGGGGGAGATAACAACAAGCGGTAAAATCTGCAGTTTTTGAGACAAACAAGCATAGTTCAAGTGAACAATAACCCAGGTAGGTGAGTGACTTTTGCCACCACTAGAAATGGAAGTTAGATTTTATGTATTTTATGCCCAAGTAGAATATATTGATAAATAGTTGGATATCATACCCCCTATGAATATACTACCAATGGTTGAAATAAGTTGAACTCTGTATGATCTAAAGTATCCAGTCATAGTCCTAATACAAAGTATCCAATAGTACTAGTGATCCATTGATTATAATATAATCCTCTAACTATATAAACTACCATGTACTCCTCACAGAAATAAACTTAACTGCACCTATATGCCATATGTCACATTATATATCTGCTGAGAAAAAAAAAACGAGAAATAGGGGTTTCTGAGAGGTATAAAACCAATACATGTGTAAAAAATATATCCAAATTTTATTATACAGTAATTATATAAAAGAAATTGATTGCAATTCATATGAATATAAAAAAACCCAATTGGCTAAAACACACACAAAGTGCCCAGGATATGCCCAACGTCAACCAGTTATAGCTTAATTAAATATCGATAGTTGCAAACATAATTGTCATTAATTATTAATTGTTCATTTACTGATTGTCATTAGTTTTTCATTGTTCATTTACTGGAACAGACATATCCGGGTCCCGACGCGTAAGCTTCGCAGTACGCTTCCTCAGGGGACCAAAGGGGGGCTATTCTAACAATAATAATTATAGATAAGTTAATTTAATTGCAACACTCAATTCATCAATATTACACAAATTAAATTTTTTTAGCAAATAGCGCCGTGGGTGTACGCTCCCCCGAGAGGTAGGTACCCCGTACTTACCAAACAGCTAGTGTCTGGATGAGGATAGAGATTTCCGGATCAGGGGAGAGTGATGGAGGTTTGTCCAAACCAGCCCACTCAACCCTGTCCAGGACCCCCCCAACCCTGTCCAGGACCATGCCAAGAACATCGGGGGCCACAGGAGGGGGGGGGGGCGTCCAGAACGATGCAGAGGACCCTTATCGTTGGTCTAAAAATAGATTACAGGGGTAGTGACATCAATATGGGACTCCTTTAACCAATGTGAAGGTATCCCATTGATATATAAATAAGGCATTTCTAGAATTAATATAAGATAAAGTAAAATAAAAGACCAAACTTCACAATCCATATATACATACACTTTTCTCACATTGGTATCCCCCTCATCCTCAGAGCAGATTAGGCAATTCCTCAAACTATAGTCCCAAATTACATCATATTCCCAACCCCAATTAACAATAATATCCTTATTGTGAACCTATACCTCCAAAAAGTCAGTGATCATGGTGTTTAGCATGTATGTGATTGAAGACAAAACTTGTCTAGATAAGAAAAATGCTCTAGTGAAGGACAAGCCCATGTATATCTCGGGGTGCTCATATTCCCCCAGTATTGAGTGAGAGAACCTGAAGTGTGGGGGTGTCATTTTGAAAATAGGTTCAATGTATGTGAAAAATAATATATGATTGGTTTATTTATATAAATAAATGAGCCCTCACAATATTATTTATTTGTGTATATTCACCAGAGTAAATTAATAAAGCTGTTGCCACATTTGTAGGGCATTGTCTTCGAGAACACATGAATATAAGTGAAATAATTGTGTGTAGCGTTGTGATCTAAAATCCTGATACCTCCATTCCTGTCAGTAAAAAGTTTAATTGTATCCCCTAGCCACTAATGAGAAAGCACCAATTGTGACGTGCATAAAAAAACAAATACAAACAAAAACTGTTCCCTCATTGTCTCACTCCCCATGGCAACCCCCCCCCCCCCCCAA